AAAAAAAAAATGTTCTATAGATAGAGATCTAAATTGTAATGGCTTTGCCCGGATCAGATAGCTCCTTGCCTCGTACCAACTTAAAAACCTGTAGGAACAAAATTTTCCCTCTGCACAAAAGCAGCTCCCTGGAACAGATTTTGTACTTGCTGAGTATTTCTTTGGCTGATGTCGTAGGTCCCTTGGTAATATAGAAGTTTTGAAAATTAAGCATCAGCACTGAGAACTGGGAGGACAATAGGCAGAAGAGATTTATCCCAGGAGACAAGGAATAAATATTGTATCTTCGCCTAATAAGGAACTGGAGGTTCTTTCAACATTTTTACCCATTTTTTCCAACCTTTATCATGCTTTTCTATACCGACCGAGGTGGGGACTCATCTCTGCAGAGAGCATTTGCACACATTTTATTGGGAAGATAAAGATCTAGCCTCGATATGTGTATATTAGGGATAGAAGTATATATTAATTAAAGCTTCCTTTTACATGAGTAAGTGTTCATTCCTATTGGTTCCACTTTCTAGATGCTGAAAGCTGCTTTTTCCAACAAGCACCCAAATCAATTTCACCCAGATTGGGGTGACTGCCTTTGCCCAAGTGGAGACAATACTGCTCTTTCCATATTTACATCGAATTTGGGTTCTTTTTCCTTTTTTGAAAGGCAACACCCTGCGGTAGCTTACACTCTCAGCAGCTTTTAAAATAAATAGGCACGGTGGACAGCCCCAAGTTTTCATCATAAAGAAATGGTGTAACTGGCAATATATTTAAGAAAAATAAGAGAATAAAGACGTGTGACAAGATTCTACATTTAGGTAAAACGTTGTCTTTCACTCCCCAACCCAACCCATTTCCCCCCTCTTTTGTGTTTTCCTTCTTCCCTTTCAGAGACAGGGCTGGTTGGGGGTTGAGGGTAGCAGACCATTTAGCAGTGACACCAGGTATTTGAACACTATTACCCCAAAATAACCCTCAAATGTTTCGAAGTTATATTTTACAGAGAGGACAGGAGGCAGTGCACACCTATCTCTGTCTCTCTGGTGGATTTCTTGACTTTCAAACAGTATTTGAGCTTTACTTCATTCAAAATTCAGTTTCCTGCACCAGGTGTTCTAGCACTTGGAGGGGCTAGTGGTGGCCACATGCCCGCAATACTGAGGCTTTGCAAGGTCCCCTCTCCAACCGTGTCTATCTCATAAGAACTGGCTGGCCCCATAGACTCATCTCAGAGATAGAAGGGGTAATTTAGTCTTAATTGCCATTTCATTTGGTTAGCTTTTAAGTGTTTAAGCTGAGAAGGTGTCTTAATAATAAGCCGCAGGCAAACAGGCATGTGGCTTTTTTTTTTTTTTTTTTTTTTTTTTTTTTTTTAGGTCGGGGTTTGGGAGGGTTTATTAGGATCTGCTCATGCAGGCTAACTGGGGCTGTCACTCAGCGCTCTTTGCTTTATATAAATGGACAAAGGCACATGACAAGAATTGAAATGCACTGTCTGAAATGGAGATCCGTGATGCTTCAGCCCTGCACAAGGGTCAGCAGCCAACACTTGCTCCCTTTTTCAAGGTGTGCAAACGTCCCCTCCCCCACCCCCAACTTCTTGAAATTCTATATTTTGGTCTAATGAAGTCAGGAGAATGCGAGCCCAATGAAGATGAAAAGAAAGAATGGTCAACTTGATCTTTAAGTAGGAGCGTGTAAGATGAGTGCCCTTGGCACTGAGGGGCTGAATCCCAAAATGCTTGCAGCGGAATCTTTTGTTTGCCAGCACTGAGTGAGGCCTCTATATTCCACCCACAGAGGACATAAATAACAGTCTGTGGGAGTTAGGGCCTGCCCCCACGACCTAATCCCAGGCACCCCCACCTCTGAGAAGGCACAACATCCGCCCCCGCCCCAACATGTAGAGCCCGAAGGTTATCTTGGGAATTGCCAGACTCGCTTTTCTTGTTGGATGATGTTGGTTTCCCTGTGGGTCCTAACTGAACTGGAAAAGGATGGCCCCTTCTCAGAAGAGCCGCAAACCCCTCCCCCAACTCCCCTACTGTCAGATACGTCTTCATTCAAGGCGAAGGGACCTTCTTTCCCCGGCTTAGGTCCAGGCAGCAGACGTAAAACCTTCTCCCCTGGGAACAACGAGAAGGCTCGGGACTGGGGACCGCCTGCTCGGCCCTGCTGGTGCCAGCGCGTTTGGCCCATGTGTTTGTCTCCGTCGGGGAGAAGATCCACATGCAGCCCCCGCATCTCTGCTACTCTTGGTAATGAGCTGGCCTCGAGCTGAGTACATCCACAGAATGACCTCTAGTTGTCTCGTCCCTCTAGATACTTCAAGACATCACGGAAGCGCTGGCAATCTTAACTCTCCATTCCACTCCCTATCCTGTTCTGTTTTCCCGAGTGACTTCCTGATACTAAGACAAAAGGCATCCAGGGTTCATTTAGTGTTTCTTGAACCCCTGTGGAATTAGAGGATACTAAAGATCACGCAGAATGAGGAAAAAACAAAAAACCACTTGTATTTGTATTTAAAGGAAATTAAGCCGGGAGGGTAAAGTGCGTCTCTTAGTTTTAAAGGGTCGACTTTGCCAGGACCCACATCTGCCTTTGAAATCTCTCCTTCCACTCAATGTCCCAGCTTCCCACACCAGCGTCTGAACTGTAGGGAAACTCCATTTGGCCAACTGCTCCCTCTCGCCTCATCCCAACAACAACAACAACAAAAAGCTGTCTGTCCCTGAAAGAAAAGTTGGGGAAATCATCCGCACCATATGCACATACTGGTCAGCGCTCCCTTCCATCTGCTCTGGGGTTGCTCGGCGCGCCCCTTTTCTAAAGAAACTCATCGAGGCAGGTGTGTGGCTGTGCTTGGTGTGTGTTTGTGTGTGTGTGTGCGCGCGGTGAGCGCGCGCGCGCGCGCAGGATTTGTTTCTGTCAGACAGTCCCCCCGCCCCCCCCCCACCATCTTCCCTTCCCATCCAATTAATAGTCTTGAGCAATTAATAAGTGCCATCCTGCTTGACCCAAAGGCTGGGCTTTTCAGCAAAGCTAATTCCTCTTTCTCTGCTTTGCCCCTTTCAGGGAGAGCGATTGGCCACACATTCTCCAGCGGGCGCGTAATTGAATTAACTGGCCACGGCAAGTTGGAGACACGGTGACAATCGCCTGGGGCTCCCTCCCTCGAGAAACCTGTAGTGAGCATCCCAGCCTGAGCCCAAGGCCCCGCCGGCTTCCGCCCACTTGAGCTAGCTCTTAAAAGCCTTGGAGAAACCCCGCCAGCCCCGCACCCTAGAAGCTGAAGACTCTCCCTTAGCACCCAGCACTTCTGTTCTGCCTTCTGATTCCATGCTCCACACTCCAGGAGGGATTGTTCTACCGCAGTCGCTTTAGGAATCCGCAATCTTTATATCTATCATTACTGTTTTGGTTAGGATCCAGGGCTAGAAAAGAGAGTTTATTAACTGTTTCCTACAATTCAGATGCTGGCATGGGAAACTTAGGTCCTTCCCTGAGTTTCTAGGCTGATACCATACAAGTCACCCCAGTTTTCATCCAATCCCAAACAACTCTACTGAAAGGATGTGCCACCCACTGTGTGTTTGAAGTTGGTGGACAATTACTAGCAAACAAGTGTCTACCCTAACTTTATTAAACAAGCGTTTCTCCTTTCCCTTCCCCCTCCTCC